ATTATTATTATTATTATTATTATTATTATTATTATTATTATTATTATCGTGGACGGGAATGCATGCAGAAATCCACCAGAGATTTTACAACTTCTATTAAATTCTAACATTCAGACAATTAACCAAAGACGTTTTCCACATTATAATCCCGCAATAGTTTTGCACATTAAGGCTAAAATGAAGGTTGTTTGACCTAATATAATGTCCAGAAAATTTGGTACATGCTATGAAGTGTTTGTTCTGCTTATGCTCTGTTTCTGAGTGAAATCCCCTCTAAGCTGAATGAAGTGCTTCTCTATTACCTTTTCTTGTCTTACACTTAACCTGAAAATACATTTCAGATTAATAAGACTCCATTAACAGCTCACAGCTAATGATTGAAGCCACCTGCAGAGGTCTGCTCTCAGTCTCCTCACAAAGAGCACCAAATATCAAACATTATTCCAGACTACGGCAGGTTTAGAGGTTAAAGACCTTCCTGAAAAACTGGAATGCAGAAAGATACCAGGAAGTTGAAAAAAAATGTAAAAAATAGGCCAAGGCAGAAAGCAATATGTACAATTCCATTTTGAAAAAATAAAGGATGTTTTTCATTTAGACCCTGTATATTAAGTAAGAATCGTGCAAAGATGTTTCCATGAATAAATGCTTTTAACCTTCGAAGTCAGTCTGAATTGGAAGAGTACACATCAAAATATTTGGACGAGGACATGTGTTGTCTAATATTATGAATACATCATTTTAATAGAATGACAAATACTTTATTATATTTATCTTTCTTAGTGTCCTTTATTCCTTAAGAGGGGTCAATCTGTAAACAACCTGGAAGAAATCAAATAAAATTAAAATATGTAGTTCTTTCAAAGCAATTAAGAAATATTTAAGCAAAGATACCTAACCAATCTCCAAGAGTCAATAATCTCAAGTCTTTTAGGTTCCAGCTTCTTAAAGCCAGCCTTTAACTCATACCACAGAAATAAGTGTTTTTCATCAATAACATTTGACATTTTGTCCACATGAGCTAATTGGAATCTATTGCAAATTTATTTAATTTGAAATGTGACAATCCAGTGTCACATTTTTTAACCGCTAAAATTGACTTAAGAAACCAAAGTGCAGTAAATCCTCACACTGTTGCTGAAAATGTGCTTACAACTTTTAACAAAACTCATTGAAGAAATTCTGGAGGGAAGATGACTGTCTTGTCGTGCTGTTGGACCTTTGCTAATATAATGCCTCATTTTTCACAGAGCATCAGACGAGTATTTGATTTTTAACACTTCATTAATCCTGATTACACATCATATCAGTTAGGATGGAGAATCACTGAAATATTGAAATATGAGAAAAGCGTTCAGGCATTTGCAAACACTACCATTATTTCTATGAGAGGCATCTTCTCTAGTTAGTAATATGATGGCTTTCCATTCCATTTCCGTATCTCTCTGCCTATTTTCCATGAGCCTACCTTGAGGGGAACAAAAGAAAAGATACAATTCAGCCTGACCTGCTAGCACATAGCATGTCAGGCCGAAATGTCTCTAAATTCTATTGTAAATCTTCTCAGGTTTAGAGAAAATGTTTCTCTTTTGAATACTCTGATTTTTCGTTGTACTTTCTTTCCCCTTCTAGAATCACATCGCCTTCGCTGAGGTCACATGACGTGGAGTCCGCCGTGTGGCAGACCCACTGGACGTCCTCGCTCTTTACCGTCCAGTCTTACTGACCGGACAGCAGCATTAAGCCCATCGCGTGTGTGTGTGTGTGTGTGTGTGTGTGTCTGGTCTGCCATGTTGTATGTTGTTATATGTTGTCTTAATCAGACCACTACTGTTATCTGCAGTGTGTTTTACTAAAGGACAAAAAAAGGGAAAAAGAAAGGCCAGTAAGTGGGACAGGTTGCTTCTGCTTTCTTCATCTATGCACTTACTCGAAATCCTTGTCAGACTCTTGCTTCCCAAATGTGGCTTTTCTGAGAACAGCAGAACAAGTGAATGCATCATTTCTTCTTTGTCATGGTCTAATAATTATGTGTGTGTGTGTGAAACAGTTGGAATAATATACTTGCAAAGCTATGTGGTTTGTAAAACAAAGTAATTTAAACTTTTCATACGTTATTTATTGATTATTTCCGTTTTCGAAAAGCCTTGAGAAATTCGGAACTGTGAGGTGATTATTAGAATATGACACTGACTTTTTAACCTTCCTCTTGTGTTAGGGTCTACCCATGTGGAGGAAGGTTAAACCACACTGTCAAATAAATTAAGACATAATATTCGACTTGAAAAGATAAAGATAAATGTACAAAGCCCATACTCACAAACGTAAGGCTACGAATTCTCAATGGCAAAAAAATACGTTTTTTTTTGTTCCATGAGCTATGTTCAGGTATTCATACAGTATAAATTCTCCCAGTGGCTTGGTTGAAGCAACTGCAAAGCATTTAAAAACCTTTTCCAGTACCAGTTGTAGCATATTTACCTTGAAAAGAGGGTGCTCGTAGATTCTGAGTTCTATCCATAAACTTATTTCTCCGTGGGGAGAATGCTGTAAGCTTGTAAAACATGGAGGGTTGTGTGTCTCTGTGTTTGCCTGTGTGCCGACTTTAACCAATGAAATATGACACATTGCCACTGCTTTGCAACTCTATCAGCACCAGACAATCACCACTTCCCCAGCTCTATTTTTCTCTCCTAATTATTAATGTCTGATTAGAACTTCTTACTCACGGTCCAAAACTCCATCTATCTCATTCATTAGATGGTTAGTCTTACAGATCTGATGCTTTACATTACACGTTACTTTATGTCAAATCAGGTTAGGGTGGTGTTTGAAATTCTGCAGTGACAAGATTCCCCTTCTTATTCTTATAGCAAAAGTATTCAGGGAGTCTGTCCGCAGCATAAAAGAGACGAGGAGTTATGTTCTGTGGTCTCATCTCACCATCAGATGCAGAACTAAAAGCTTTTGGGAGTTTCCAAAGCTACAAAATTTCTTATAGCACAATTATTTCCCCCTGGAATTTTTCTAGGGGAAAAAGCCCATCATGGATAAAATAGAGGTTGTTTATTTATGTTCCAGTTATTAATGAGATATTATATATATATATATATATATATATCAAAACTAGTCTATGTCCCCCTCAGTTTGATCACATGACACTGATGGAAACTTTATTTTGATGACCAGTTTATTTCTATATAGTCATTTTTATTAAGTCACATCGCCCTAATTCATCTTTAAACACAAAATGCTCAATCATACGTTGGATGTTTTGTTCTTTTTCCACTCCATCAAACAGATTTGTTCCACATAAGTCAGTAATACATAACAATAGTATGAAATATTTAAAAGCAACAAGTATTAATATTGGAAAATCTGGGTTAAAGCCCTTTGTACAGGATGACTAAATGAAACAGATTTATCATGTCAACTCCAACAACACCGCACTGGGTTGGATGTGTTTTTGGAACTATTCAGACCCTAAATGCATTTGAAAAGTCTCAATGGAATCAGTTACTGCTTAGGATTCTTAATAATGTGTCTTCACAGACTTCACAAGCATTTAAAAAAAAAAAGATCCTCTCAAGGATCACCAATTTAAATGTCTTTGATCATCAGTCCTTGAGTTTCTCCAGATTTCAAAGACTTAATGTTTCTGTACTTTAGCTTGTCCCCGCAAGGGCATCAAACTTAATCAAGTTCATTTTGGAATATAGACTTAAATGTGAACTATCACCTAGTTTGAGACTAATTTTGAAATAGAAACTAAAAAAAATGTAGCAGGAAATTGCTACATTCCCCTCCCTCTGCTCCATCATAAATACAAGTTCATGTAATAAAATTAGAATATAATGAATTTTTTTATTTTATTTCAGTTAATACATTCAAAAAGTGAAGTTTGTATATTCTAGTCATTCGTCACATCACACTGATATATATCGAATGTTTATTTCTTTTAATGTTGATGATTAGAACTGACAACTAACTAAAAGGTTCAGTATTGACGATGCCGGGTCCCACACTGTTCACAGATCTCTGAGTCCGAGCAAATGAAAAGAGAAACAGGCGACAGGAAGGAAACGACGTGCCGGGAAAAAAAAAAGCGTACGAGCGACAGGAAGAGGACTGGGAGACAAAAGCAATTCAAAAATCCACAAAGAGTCGCCTGCAGCTGGATGGCTGCCTCCAGAGCTATCATACTCAGACGATGTGCGGGTCCTGATGTCAGCTGGATTCCTTTAGTCAGGCCCCTCTCCAAAAACACACGCTGTCAGAGGCTCCCGACTGGAGGAAGAGAGCAGAAGCTCAGAATCCACGTTGCTTTAGGTCCAAATGTGAAGTTTCCACAGTCGGTGATGCTTTTGGGAGCTTTGGTTGGTCCACTGTCTTTTCTGAGGTCAAAGGTCAACACAGTCGTCTACAAAGAAGATTTAGAACACTTCATGCTTCCGGCTGCTGGCCGACTTTATGGAGATTTAGATTTCATTTTCCACACGGAGCCAAAGCTGCCGGTGCCTGGTTTAAAGGACCATGGTGTCTTAACTGGCCAGCATACCCGCCTGACCATGACCCTTTAGAAGATTTTATGGGGTATTTTTAAAGAGGAAGATGTGATACGACAGCCCCAACATTTCAGAATAGCCAAAGGCCGCTCTCAGAGAAACCTGGGCTCTAATAACACGGTTCCACAGACTGACCAACTCTGTGCCAAGCCCCATTCTCAGCTGCAGGAATCCAGGAAACACGAGCTCCACATAAATTCTGAGTGCTCACATTCAAACTTTTCAGTTGGCCTGACATTTCCAAAAATCCTTTCCTTTGTATTGGTCTTCAATAAGATTCTAATTTTAGATACTGAGTGTGGGGTTTTCATTAGTTGTCAGTTATAATCATCAATGTAAAAAGAAATTAACATTTGATATATGTCAGTCCGTGTGTGATGAATGAATAGAATATACAAGTTTCCCTTTTTTGAATGGAATTACTGAAATACATAAACTTTTTCATGATATTCCAATTTAATGACCAGCACCTGTACGTGTAATTCATTCAGTAACTAAACAAATATGTGAAATACTGTCAATTTTTGAGTGCAAACAATGATAAACCAAGCAGAAAAATACATTTAAAATGCATCAATATTATTAATAATATAACAGCGGAGTGGTCTGAACACTTAAATTCAAACTTGTACTAATTGAGAACTGTAATTGTTCCCCTCCCCCACAATCTCTACTTTGCTATGGATATAGCTCCATATTTCTAACTTCATGCCATTTAACAAAAGTAATCTCAGGGCACTTATTAAGGATTCCAAAGGATCATATTGATTCTTCATCTCATTGAAATCGAGAATAAATTCATAACCTTAATAGCTTAGATTTATTTTTTATTGTTTTAGAAACATTTGATGTGGAAAAGTGTGCAATGTCAGGACTGAGGAAAGCAGAAAACTAAAAGCTTCTATGGAATGTCATGATATTTAAAAAGTATTAATATATCTATCATAGATGTCAAGACTTGTGGGATGCAGGAATTATTTTACACAATGACCAGTAAATATAACACACATAAGTCTTCATTACTACTGAATCCAACCACTGACCTAACAGATGATGACTCAGCAGGGGTCACTTTGGCAAATGAGAAAGGGGCATTTCAAAAGCTACTCATTGGACCATATCTATCTTTGCTGGGAAACAGCATGTGGAAGCTAATGGCTAGCACATTCAGGTTAGTAATGTGAATTGATGAGATGGTTCATTAGCCAGTCATTCCCATTTCCAGGCTTGTAACTGTTAAATTAAAGTCGACAACGTCCATCATCTTTTAGGGCGTACAGTTTTGTCTACTCGCTTAGTACAGCTCTTGGGATTAGGAACATGTGTTGATTGTGTTTTTAGTAAAGGAATAATTCATATAAATAATTGATAAAAGGAAAATACATAAAAATAAATCTCCATCTTTATTTGGAATATAACGGTATGCTTAATAATCAGAATGGAATGAAGCAGATCTGGAACGGGAAAGAGAAAAAATATGTATTAATTTAAACAGAGAAATCACTCTTATTTTCTTAGTGGATATCTATCATATCAGAACTATGAACACACACACAAAAGAAAAAAAGAGGCGGTGTTTCAGATTTAGAAGCTGTGTCAATCAGGATCCTATCCATCCCTTTTTTCATTGTGTAGCAATAAAAATGTTGAGCATATTTCATATCAGAAGAAAGGATAAGAAAAAAAAAGTTGAAACATTTGCCCTTTCAAATCTTTATTTTTATAACAAGGACTGAAGCACTTAACCGTGGACACACCATGCTGACATAAGTTATCTTACAGTTGCAGAAAAAGACAAAAAAATCAATCAGACCTGCTCAAATGCATATCCTAAGAGATGTTATTATTTGTATATTTAAAATGAAAGTGTAAAAATGTATATGTTGAAATATATATACATTACCGCTGTCTATTTTCTTATGACTGTGCACTGTGTGAGTGTTCACAATCGATGTTCTTTTACTCCTGTGATAGCTGGTATTGCTTCATTATGTCCTCGAAGTACGATGAGGTTTGTTTTGTGTGATAGTTCAGACATGCAAATACATTTTATAGCTTGTTTTGTGAAAAGTTCCATGCACGTTGGTTTAGTTAAGT